TTCTAGAAGTGTGCCAAAAGCGGTCACAGATTACCGCCATTGGCTATAATTCAACACAATTCATTACAATTTATCAGAGATAACTAGAATGCAACAGAAATCATCATGTATTACAATAATATCAAACCGATCGAGGAAGCGTAAATCTTGAAGGATCCAAAAAATGCGCAAATCCATGATGATATGCCAAAATTTACTAAGACATAATCATCTCGGTGTCCTGGATCTTTTTTTCTCCTTACTTAGTTACAAATTCTGAAGTCACTATTCCCTTTTCTCACTTAATTTATTTGGACCTTAAAGAATTCTCATATCCATTAAGATCAACTTTCATCCTCGTTTCTGTACGCTTGAAATAATTTATTCTACAATCCACCAGGATCCAGTAGGATGCACGAGGATACGGGGATCCAGGATCCGCTTTTTCCCCCTTGCGGGATACAATTCCGAGTGCTCAGTCTTTTGGGTTGATGAAAATATTGTTTCATTGATTCTTTTTTTCGTACATTATACAAAATTATCCCAAGTTTAAAAAACTAGTGCATATAAAAAATAAACTAAAATAAATTGACACCCAAATATTGTTAAAACTTTTCAACATGATTGTTCAAGTGTTTCAAATCAAATATAGACAATAACATTTAACATAAGCATTTAATTGAATATAATAAAAAAAAAGACTATACCTTTATTTATTTATTTAGGTATTTAGTATATGATAAGGAGTACTTAGTATCTTAATTTCTGATGTTTTATTTTAAAGTTTTAAACAAAAAGACTTTTTGAACGAATGCAAACCACACGAACCTGATGATGACCATTTTTTGTTGCAACAAAAAAAGTCAAAAATTCCTTATGCATTTATTAAAACTTAAAAAAATGAATAAAAACTGTTAGCTTAATCCCTATGAAACTAAAATGTGAAACACAATGCAGTTGCTCTTTCTAATCATAGGAAGATTATTTTATTTCACCTATTTTGGGACGATATACAGCCTTTGATTGTATATCAGCAACATTAATCACAGTCTGTGACGTGGGGAGAGAGTATTATCAAAGAGTCTGTCATGTCTATAATGAATTATTTCTAATGTGTCTGTTACAGTCTGTCAAGGTCTGTGGGAAGTGCAAAGTTCTCCCCTTATATAATCTGCAATCTAAAAGCAATTACTGAAATCTAGGCCCATAATTCTCTGCTCAGAAACATCATAGAGATTACATTATTTTTCTAATTGCAAGGGAAAAGACTAAACCTAAAAAGAAACAGAAAAGAGTTATTTTTTGGATTAACTTTGAGTGAGAACAAAGCTTGATATCAAACGTCGCCAAAAACAGCTCTTTCAACTTCAAACGCCTCTCTCGCATGAAACTTGTCGTTTTCTTTATAACAGATCACGTTTGAAACTATGTAATTATAAAAATTCGAAGTGCTTTTATCACTCTTTTAAATGTTATATAATAAATTACGTCTTGATCGTCGAAGCTTCAGAGGTTTTTTCATTTATTTTAAAAATAGGTCATCTAACCTAAGCAATTGTTTACACATACTGAATGAATTTCTCTCCCTTTTTCCCTAAAACATATTTTCTGAAATGACGGGTCATTACCCATTACGCGTATGTTTTTTTAAGTTCAGACTTTGCTCTTTGAACTGAAAAAGAATGTGCTTTCTACGATTTATTTAAGGGGGGAACCAAAGTTCGAGATTTTGACAGTTACTTTTGTATCGTAGGTTACTTCAACACTTCTTTTAGATTTTTAGATAATGTTTTGCAAAACTATATTATTTCATCATTTTGATTGTTTTATTAATGACTATAAGTCTCAAGCTAAAAGTTGCCCATACAGGAAGAGATTGAATCAAAGGTTATGAAATTTGTTTCAAATTATGCATTGACTAAATGTCGTTGACTGTCTTTCTGGACAAGCCAACAGAACTTTTATTTATATAGTTCACATAAGCATGTTATTCCAAAGCGATTATAAAACGTATTGAATAGATATTCATATATGTGCTGTTCTCTAGTGTATTTAGTTGCGAGACTCATTTCTGATTTCAGATTCGATTAAAATGATCCTAAATATGTACGAATAGAAAAACAGAATATAAAGTGTATTAAGTAATTCGACTCTATTGACGTTATTCTATCATATACATCAGTTGTTAAAAAACAACACACTAATATCTAATTTCTTTTTCTTCAAAAACATATCTGATGGGTTTGTCAGTAAGTGTTAAAGATGTCAAAAATCTTCTCGTCAATTTAAAATATTCATAAAACTACAGACACGATAAAAATAGTTTGTCACTTTTTTGTATGTCATTGTAATAGAGCAGATCAGTGGCGCTACCTATTGACATGTGAAAGGTACCCGGAAGAACCTGATAATACGCACGCAATTACATAAATGAAGTCTTTCTCCGCAGGTCTAAATATATACCGTTCTGTAGTCATAATCTTATAGTCACTTTTCTTTTATTTCAATGCTCAATCCTTTTTTTCATAAATTCAATAGGAACAACTTGTTATGATGATGCTGATAGTTCATAAGCATGAATAAATTTTTTCTGAATTTATTCACATGATGAGTTTATTTTACGGTTGAATGATCAACTCGTAAGAAAATGAAACATTTCTTAAGAATAACGAAGCATTGATTTGATAGGATTATTAATTTAATTTTGTATTTGCTCACGGCAAATGGAGTATTACTCTCTTGATTTGACTCAGTTGTGTCGTTAGAAGAGGAAAAAAAGAACAAGAAATTCCATCTTGCTATATAAACGAGTTAAGAGGAGACTTTTCAACATACTACGGTAACCAGTCTATATAATGATTTACTTTTTCTTTTCAATAGTCTTACTATTCTCAAACTAGCTAGCCTCGATAGAAAAACAAGATGAGAGATGTTAAAAGAAAAGAAAGTGGTTTTTTTTTATTTTTCCGTTTCTATTTTATTATTAATATTGTATACGTGTTGTCGGAGGCTAAATAAAAAAGAAAGGAAAAGAAAAAGGCATACGCTATATAAAGCAAAATCGATTTGATTCATCTTAGACAACAGCTGCACCCATCAATTATAAAAAAAACAAATATTATTTATAGAAATGTTTTGTACAAAAACATCGGACCAATATTGGACCTATGATAATCCATCTGAATGGTCAAAACATTTTCCATGCGCTAATGGACTATGTCAATCTCCAATTAATATAAATACGGTCGATACTATTCCTGAATTTTACTCACCTTGTATATTTTCTTCAAAATATGATTCTGATCAATTATTTACATTGAGTAACAATGGTCAACAGATAGCTACAACGTTAGCTAAATCTTCTACTGAACAAAATACAAACGAATTATGGTTTACTGGTAGTGGTTTAATTGGAAAATTTTATTTTGTTAATTTTCATTTACATTGGGGAGAAAATAATAAACATGGATCTGAACATGAAATCAATGGGCATTGTTTTCCAGCTGAAGCACATTTTGTCCATAAGAATCATGATAATGGACAAATTGTTGTACTTGCGTTTCTTTTTACAATTGATAATAATCAACATAATGAATGGGGAAAATATGCTAATGTTGCAAGTCAATTAATTAAAACTCATGATAAAACAAATTGTACATTTAATTTAAATCGACTTATGCAAGTTAGAAACAGAGAATTTTTTCGTTATATGGGCAGTTTAACAACACCACCTTGCACTGAAGGTGTTATATGGACAATATTTTCTCATGAAATTCCAATTAAAGAAGAAAGTTTAAATTTACTTCGTCAAAATATTATGCAAAAAGTTTATCGATCAGTGCAACCATTAAATGGTCGAACTATTTTTCGAAATTATGAATATTCAAAAATGATTTGAACCTTTTGCATCTGTTTTTTTTCTCTTTCTCGAATAGTCTAGTCTTCTTGTTGCTTCTTCATCGTTGTGAAACAGAATATTAATAGAACAAAAGCTAATTATACAGCTTAGATAGATAAACCAATACCGAATCATATTTTCATTATATTAAACTATATTTAGTTGCAACAATAAATTATAATATTTTTAACAAGGAAAATGAGACAACATAGATGTTAATATTCGAAGAAAAGACTAAAACATTTCCATGATAAAATCAATAGCTTTTTTAGTAACTTTGTTTTTGCTTATAAATTTAATTATTGAAATGAAACTATTTGAAATCCTTACTTATTAATGTGATTAACTACCTGAAGTGCAATATTGCTTGTAAGCCGCTTAGTTACTATGGCAAAAACCTTCTTCCATTCGACACATTCATTATGACTGAAGTCAGTCATTCATTCGCAGTCCTCAAGTATAATTTTAAACCGAAAAAGAAGCTTGATGAGATCCTGAGAATGTGACAGGCGCACATTTGACATTCATTTTTACAATTCAACAGCATCCGGGAGATGCATATAATTACAGCATAATTCATCTATTTTTACTAGTTTTCTTCAATTTATCGTATTTCTGTAACACTTCAAAAGTTTTTTAAATTTTTTATGGTTAGATAGGTTTTTAGGTAAGCAGCTACTTAGTAAAAATAAATGAATCATGCTGTATACGGAAAACGATAATTAATATTGTATAGTTTCCTTATATTGTGATGTACGACTTGTATCAATCAAACAGAAGAGAAAATAATAATCAATAGGTAGACAAAAAAACATAATGTGAGAAATAATGTGATAGTGAGCTTCTTCTCTTCACCGACGCTAAGACCAATATGGATAATTAATATTCATTAGAATGTTATCCGGACGAGTCTAATATTTAGAAATACAAAAATGTCATATGAGATTATCTACTGACATATTCGAGACTCGTGCAGTCAGTCATCTTCTCTACTTGAGCAGCCATCTAGTTATCTATCGATTTGATATTAGTTTTTGAAGGAAATTTGATTTTTGCTTTATTTGTTAAATAAGATAATATTTATACTTTCGCTATTTAAGACACAGAAGTTTAATTACCTATTTTAATGACTTGAAATATATCTTCGAAGATATTTAACGAATTCTTTTCGATTCTTATCATTAACAAGACGATCAATATATTGCCATGCATAAAATTCATCTAAATGATACATATCATCATGTGAAACATTATGATATGTATTGGGTTCTGGATCACTATGAAATGTTTTTCGACCATCTAATTCGAGTGTACGATCAAGATTATTAGTCCAAAAATCAGGCACTGTAGTTAACTCGAATGTCTAAAATATATATTAAACATGTCCACGCTGCGTGCGAACAACTATCACATTGACTCATGTTACGTGGCCAAATATTTTCAACATAATTCGTTAAATGATGTAGAATTAATTCAACTAATTTTGAGCTTTAAAAAAATCCAGCCCCATTATTTAGATAATCAATCTTAAGAGCAAATCTCTGAGAAAATCAGTCACTATGGGATAACGACGAAGGTGAGATATCTCAGAATTTGCTGATTTTTTTCATATGTTGTAGAGGGCAGTGAGTTTAGTATTCTCTGAAATTTTCAGCTCGATCTGATCATTTTTTCCTATGCAAATAGTCAAAATACTAATGGAATTTTTTATAACTTTCAAT